AAGGAACATGGTATGCTCCTTGAGAAATGTAACACCCTCAGTGTTACACTGTAAATCACTTACAAAAATATGTCATAAGTATCATGTTTAAATGTTATTGCATATGATAATATGAACAAGTGAAGCAGTGTAATTTAAACGAACCGTAAAAACTTAAAATAAAAGGTTGTTCGCAACTTATGAAATTATCAAGTAAGGATATTAGCGAATTTTTATTGAACGAAAACACTATAGAACATGCATGAGAGGCCTAAATAAAGTTGGAAGTCTAAGAATTGTACTTGACAGTGAAATACTTGGTGTAGAGAAATAATTGGGTTAAGTATAAATTTCAACAGCTTGAAAATGCAACTAGAAAAAGAAATCCAATTAAAACTTAGAAAATTTCTTGTACTTTGGAAAGGGTATACATTGCTATGTTCATCAATTTTTGTAGAAATTTAGTTAAGAAGTAGAGTAGTGTCGTGGCCTGTTTTAGTAGCCTAATGTACCCTCTAAAGTATGGTGAAGAAGGTTTGGATGTTTGGCCAACCAATTAGTCGTTTTAGACGCTTTAAAATGCGTGCATGGCACGTCCTCGATCGGTTCCCTCGCGTAGGTGCGGTCCCCGTGCCCCTGAGCCACGACGTCGACGCGACTTTTGCGCCCACAGCGTGCCTAGGCGCTTCGGCTAGTCATTGTGGGTCGACAACCTTTGACGCCAGTAGTCGCCCCACCTCACTACCGCGCTACTATCCGTTGCAGCTCCCACCATGAGCGAATATGCCGTCGCCGCTCGCCCTACTCACTTCCGCCACCGCCATTGCATTCGCATTGCTCAAGCATACATCGCCACGCACATGGTTGCCACGACCGGTGCCTGCCCCCTCCGTCTACTCCGGTGGCGCTGCGTCGGTACGGGATCAAGGCCACGCCTTTTCGACGCTGCCTACCGTCCCCGCTTAGCGGTCGATCAGACCTGTCATGGTGATGCGGAGCTCCCACGTGTGGCACAACGTGCCAAGCCATTGCTGGCCTCGCCCTGCGCCGCACGTGTAGTTGTTCGCCCTCTCACCTTGTTCTTTTCTATTGAATGGCTACGCGACGTATCGAGCTGTCCCCTCTCTTCATCTCTCGCGCGCGCCTTTGCTGCCGCCAAGGACGAGAAGGCGGGACCAAGCTGTGCCAAAGCCAAATCAGCAACGCCTGGTCATTTTCAACGTAATTACTCACGCCAGGTGCTAGTACAGGAGTCCTGCTACCGCCCAGTCCTCTCCGGCCTTCAATTGAGCCCGGACGAACTCCAATTGGCCGTTTCCCTCGCTGCCGAGCTGTTAAGGTCGACTCCAGCCGAGGCGGATGGCAAACTCGACCCCTGGTGTCGATTCAGCTAGCCATCCGCAACATTAGCTTCGTCTCCACCTCCACGTCACCCTGCACACCCCACTTGCACCGCCACTACCTTTCCAGCGCCACTGACACGGCCGCACCACCATAATCCATCGCCGGGCTTGCCGTGCGCACGTGGCCAGACGCGCCCGGTCCATCCCCGGCCTACCCACCACCATGGGTAGCTACGGGGTGAGTTGCTGATGCTCACCCATTGTTTCTATCACCTCTGTTGTGCCTAGGCTCACTGGAACATGGCTGCCACCAAAGCAGGGTGTCCACCGCCGTGGAGGGAGCACCTGGACGTGTCCCCGGCATTCTACCTCCGCCCGATGACTCGCGTCAACCCCTAGGTGAGTGTCGATCTCTTATTTTGGGCAAGGGAGGTCCCGAGTGCCGATGGGAGCGCCAATGCCACCACTGCCGCGTCGGTGCTCACGAAGGTGACCGGGGGAACCTGGCCGATGCAAAGAGGGAAGAGTGAGAGGGCCTTGTTGCAAAGTTTCTCTCTAGAAATAGTCGTGTGGAGTGCGGATTGATTTGCCGATAGATCAAGGGTGTTTTTGCAAGAGTACCAGCGCACGCGAGGCCTCCCCACGTGGGCCATTTTGTGGGGTCAGCTGCTGGCCGTGGGCCGAGCTCGGCTGTTTGTGTTTTCCTTTTTCTTACCAAATTAGTAAATGCTTTTCTAAATAAGTTTTGAGCCGATCTTTGATAATTAATATAAATCTTGTAGGTGCCCAAAAATTGTGAAATAAATTTTGTTGAGTTCCTAAAATAGAGATCTATCGTATGATGTGATTAGTTCATATACGTCTATGTTGTTGTTTAGGGCTATTAAATCATTTAACATGCTTAGTTTTATTTAGATGCTTTATTGTAGGGAATTTTGTGGCAAGGTAATAGCTTTGACCATGAAATTTTTGCAATAGTTTTATTGTATTATTGTGTGCTTGTTATAATTCTTACAGTACTAGAATAGGTTGAGATATAGGTTGGCTAAGTGCTCCTTGTTTATTATAAATATTAAATCGTAAATAAAATAAGAAATGCATTTTGGCTACTATGATAATACTTGAATGTTTCGTACCTGTTTAGTGGAAAGGATGGGTAGTTTAGCATATTAATCAGTAGAGTTAGCTTAGTAGTTTGGTAGATGTATTGTTAACTAAGAGTTGTTGTTGTCGTAATACTAAGTGTCGTACCATCATTGCATGCATCTAGAGAACGAAGTGGTGGAGTTCATGATTGTGGACGAGCTAGAGTACGAGGAGATAATCGAGGAGTACGAGGAGGAGGTCCTCGTCCAGGAGGGAGCCCCAGAGCCACTAGCTGCTGACTTTACTGACACCGCGCCTGTCCAAGGCAAGCCCCGGCGCATAACCCTTATTTTGAATAATCACTGGATATATATACATACATACATACATACATACATACATACATACATACATACATACATACATACATACATACATACATACATACATACATACATACATATATATATATATATAAATATGTGTGTGTGTGAGGTGCATTTACGTTACATGCATTTTATAGAAACTACATATATAGATAACCTACCTATAAGTCCTACTAGCATAGGTCGAGTAGCTGCTATGCTTAGTCTATCGGTAGCGTGAGTAACCTGTCGTTATTCACAATAGGTGACTATTATTATCCCTCATGATAAAATGGTGAAAGTAAATAGAGACCGGGTAGGGATATGGTATGGGTATTGGTGGGTGTAAGGGTTTATGTCTCGCGGCCAATGGGGCATAGCTTGGTTATACTATTTTCCCTGTCCGTGTCAGTTAAAGACCGGCCGTTGCATTGGATTCTAGTCAGGTCACAGACTTATTATCCAAAACACAAACTTGTTTATGGGAGCAGGGAAGGCTCGTTGCTCTTTTGTCGTCGGTTCTGGCTCTTTCCGGACCGACTGATTGGAGGCGGGGATGGTGGAGGTCTAAGCACCACACTGAGTCCGGGACTCAGGTGTGGGGGTTTGGAGTCCAAGTTTGGACGGGGACCTGGACCCCATGGCACGAGAGTGATAGGTTGGTCTTGCTTGTGTCTGAGGTACAAGCGGGGCGTGTGTTTCGAGGTACCCAGCTGGGCACATTGATTCGCGAATCACCGGATAATCCGGTATGACTTGTCTACAATCTAGCACTGTAGTAAGAACTGGAAGATGAAAGATGGTGAAATGGGTATGTTTACTCAACTCTTACTTAAAAGTAAAACATGTGCTTATCTAGAATGGTTAGATAATGAACTAATTATGGGTGCTAATAAGAAACATACATAAGGATTCACTACTAGTATCGCTTTTCGCAAAAAGGAAACTCAGCAAACCATAAAGCTTATCATATCCTTTGGAGTCGGGAAATTATTTCCCCTAGTCAGGTAAGTCTTGCGAGAACATTGTGTACTCAGGGTTTATTTACCCTGTTGTAGGTGCAGTTTGAAGGGTAGCTGTTGTGTGGAGGATTCTTCTGGTGGGCACAGACGGATCCTTGTATTCTACCGTTAGATGTTTATTGTAATTCTACTGTTTAAATTCCACACTCTTAACTTGGTACTGTAATAATGTATTTCTAAGAACTCTGGTCGTATGAAATGAACTAAGTATTGTGAACTCGTTCTCATTATTGGATCCTGGAGGAAAAACGTGGATTATTCGAGTTCTCCTTTGGGGTGTGCTCGACGGAATCCGTCCGATGTAGCGTGCTTTCGAGGTACTTAGTGTCTGGTCGAAGACGAGCACCTCTAAATATGTGTTATTTCGACCGATTCTGCCACAAGAAAGAGGTTTCCATTATTGAGACGGGACTGATCTCCCATTCCTAGGACACGAAACATGGCACCGTGGGTGACAATGTGACTGCACTAATACATGCACTTTATTAAATAAAGTACGCATATCTAGAGTCAAAGAATTTATAGGTATAACAGTGCTAGCCTATGTCACTAGTTTATGTACTATCCTAATATTCGTATAGACATGGTTTGTACGTTAAGACGGGTGGGACGTGGGAGCCCTCACCTTTGCGGAATTTTCTCTGCGTTGTAGATTTAGTTATTATCCGCGGTACAACTACATATATTGTGTCTTATAAATATTATTATTTTTCTACAATTTTTCATTTTTTAGAAATTTTGACCAAGTGCAGAGCTACATTAGCATCCTCCCCGGGTAGATAATAGCGCTAGTCCATATCACTAGTTTATGTGTTATGTTCATATATTCCATATAGATGGGTTTATAACTCTGGCAGTAATTAATGGGTAAATAAAAGATGAATATATAGGCTGTACCGCTATTGCCGATGAAGGAGGTGAACATCGGCACAAGCCAAATAAAAAGGGTGACACGTGAATATTACATAGCCGAGGGTTTTTCGCGCAAAGATACAAACGCGAAAACAAGGGCGGGCGGCGTGTTTGTTTGGCGAGGGCGACGACGACGAATGGGCGGGATATTTTGGTGCCCGCCGAGCCCAATCTCGAAGCCTTCTCGGGTCGGGCCATGGCCCATGGGAGCTGAAGTAACCAACCGCCCGCCTCTCTTCCCTTCCGTTCGTTCCCTGCAGTCCAGCACCCGCCTGCCGCCGCCGCGGGGCATCATGGTTTGGCTGCAGTACACGGCCACCCGCTCGCAGCGCGCCGCCACCGCCTGCCTCTTCCTCACCGGTGCAGCCCTCATCGTCGCCGCCGCCAGGCTCTCCTACGCCAACATCGAGCCCCAGCGCGCCAAGGCCGCCGAGCGGCGGCGCGTGCTCGAGGCCTTCATCCACCGCAAGCTCGGAGGAGGAGGATCCGCCTCCGCCTCCCCACAGCAGCAGCAGCAGGATCCTACCAAGACCGCCTAGGGCCCGCGGCTTCCCGTCCTTCTCCTGATTTGTTGCTTCGGTCCACATCTCTTCTTCCTCTCACCCACACAATTCAGTATAAACTGGAGTAGCGCTTTAGTACCAATGCCATGCTTTTACTGACTGACTGAAAAATGGAATCAGTTAGATGCTCTACTGGAGCTCCTTGGATTCAAATTCATTAATAAATTAAGCGGGCTTGTTACCCCTTTTTGATTTTTTTTTTACTTTATCTACCAAGTCATTCTGCTTGCTGTATATACATATGCTTCTGCTAATAGTAACTGCTACTCCATTGAACATATATATATATTTCAGAAGATTGTTTGGCAACCTGTATGACATTCATTCATCCTACACTGATCTATCGCGCGCATGTTGTCATCAGATGTGCTCGTGTCCTGTTTCCTTGTACTAGATTTTGACCTGTCTGCTCCAATTAAATAGACAAATGCAGTAACACAGACGTGCAGTTCCTTCTGTTACTCATATTGGGTGTTGTAGAGTACCATTTTACTGCTACTCACCAAGAAATCATGGATTGGTACTGTGTACCAGCGATTTGGACAAGGTCTTCCTGCTTTCAGTGTAAATGTACAAACACGGCTCAATCATAACCACAGGTACTGCTGCTACCTCTGATTTTGTCGTCCCATCATGTACAAACACAGCTCATAAAGGGCGCGGTAGAATCGTCAGGATGGAGTCATCAACTTATCTGTAGGTTAGTGAACATCTACTGGCCCACCTGCAGAGTGCAGATTTCTGCTTTTTGTTTAGAGTTATTATGCCTTTTACCAATAGTTCATGTTTGTCAGTGTGATATCAAAGGCAAATAGGCATCTTCATCTTTCATTCTTACCTGCTGAAACTTCTCTGCCTTAAATAAACTTCTGCATTTACACTCTCGTATGGTTTTGTTACTGATCTTAGGTTCCACCACTCACCAAGAAATCAGGTTTCGATATTGTGTCGCAGTTATGTCAACTAAGCCTTCCTAATTTCAAGATAGATCTACAGACACAGTTCATTCATAACTACAGGAACTAATCGCTCGTTCTGGTTTTATAAATTTAGTTTCTCCCACTATCATGTATCCGAAAACTTTGATCCCATTATTTTTCTACTATCATTTGTTCGAGTGGTATGCTGAATTAGTTAGTCTAATAGCTGTTCCGCCAGGAGCCATTACACCCAAGTATGTCAATTGTCAGGTGGACTGAGATGAGGTGTGTATGTGAGAAATCAAATCACTGACAAGAAGAGGGAGATGTAGGGCCTGTTTAGACAGTGTCCCTTGGTGGCCAAGCCAAAATTTGGCTACAGCCAAATCAAGGTATGACCAAAATTGGGTCATAGTAGATAAATTTGGATTGTGGCCTAGCCAAAGTTACAGAACATGCCAAAGTTTGCGAGCAGAAATGCAGAACACTTACTTTTTTTTTGTGTGTGAGGGGGTGGGGGTGTATCCATTTGTTGATGGTATGATTCCTATCAGCCATAAGTTTGCTAACACCATGGAGCTACTCTGTTTTGTAACATATAATTTTGACACGCTACGTTCAAGTTACTCATGTATCTCATCCAACTTAACTTATCACTCTGCAGGCTCACCGGTTTGCTGGAGCAATGGAAAACTTTGATGGTGCCTGCCTGTCATTGATGATGTCTATCAGCTGTCTATCAGCATATGCTGATAAGTTGGTGGTGCACCAGAAATTCATGGAATGGTCTTAAGCTGCTTCAAGGATTACTTGTGGACAGCAATGCTGCTCATGCCCCGCGCTCAGGTCAGCTGGCAATTTTTACACGGGTGGCAGAATACTTGCAGTCAAAATTGTTGGCACATCTGAATGATAATATCTGAGATGCCATCCACTGCATGCATAGGAGCATGTTTCTGCGTTACTTGTGCACAGTTTGATGTCACTCTAGTTGGGTGGGTTAGTGGGAGTGGGAGCGCGAGCAGCCTCTCGTCCAGATGTGGATGGTCAGCTGCTCATCCTTCAGGGTTCTTACAATGTTTTCTGCTTGCATCTGTTGGCAAGGGTAGTTCACCTATAGTATAGGTCGTGCCGTGCGATGCGTGAAGAATAGAATCTGAATGATTTTTTCCCTAGGCTGTAGATGGAGAACCTACAAGACTTATAAAACTAACTCCTGGAGGATGTTGATGGGGTCCTCTCTATCTCTATCCAAACAGTTGATGCTGTTAGGGCGCATTTAGATGCAAATTTTTTTGGGTTTTGACTACTGTAGCATTTTCGTTTGTATTTGGCAATTAATGTCTAATTATGGACTAATTAGGTTCGAAAGTTTCGTCTCGTGATTTCTCACCCAACTGTACAATTAGTTTTTTCGTCTACATTTAGTACTCCATACATGTGCCGCAAGATTCTATATGATGGATACTGCGTAAAAATTTTTGGAAACTAAACATGCCCTTACCTAGTGGGGACTGGGGAGAGTTCGGAGCCAGAGCGTGCACGGCGAGCTCGCGGACGAGCCCCTGCTCCTTCCACGTTGCTGCTCCCCTCTGGCACTGCTGACGCCACCGCGGTACTCGGATGCGTCGGCCACCCCTTGGTCTAGCGCGTTCAAGAAAGGAGTCCAGCACGGTACCGCCTTGGCTCAGCTGCTTGGCAGCACCGCATTTTGGTGCCGCAGCAGCCAATCACACGTGGTCCGGCCGGCGCCTCGTTCTGTCGTCGACGACGCTTTGCTTGCCGTCGCCGTGGCAAAAGACAAAAGGCTCACCGTGCTGATTGCCCCGTCAAGCCCGCCTCCTTAGTCCTCGTTTCCATGGAATGGAAGGCAGCGACGAGACGCGGTGCCGCAGGCGCGAGATGGCTGAGGCCAGGCTGCGCGAGCTCCAGCTCCTCCCTCTCCTCAGCCTCAGGTGGGCGACGTGGCACGAAGGGCAGCGACGAGACACGCGTGCCACGGGCGCGAGCAAGCCGGACACTCCGGGCTTCCTTCCGGAGCGCTCCTGCTGTCTACTGTTTTTTTGGGTGAAAAAAAAAATTCTAGAGGCCTTGGATTACCTGGATGCTTCGATCGGAGTTGGACGGCGGATGTGTATGGGAAAGTTACGTCCTAACTTGCGCCTCAGTAAAGTCACTGTGAATCTCGATCCCGATCGGTCTCCTCCACCCGCTCGCCGCGCCGCAACCCGGAGAGGAGACCGCGCTCGGTCGAGCACCACCTCAGGCCCAGCGTCCTCGCGACCAGCTCCGGCGCGGCGTCCGCCCTCTGCAGCCCCGGTGTCCCCGCGACCGTCGCTGCTGTCCTACTCCGCCACTCGCCACCTTGGCCGGCGACCAGCACCACCAGGACACCAGGTATTCATTCCCCTTGGTCCTCCCTTCCTGCTGTGCAAAGCCGCCAAACCCTAACATACTATTCGTAATCGGATCTGAATCTAATTACAGACAGGTGTATATGCATGTATTATTATGCCTACTAACTTCGATTGCTTTGCAAAATTATCATGTGGATCCGAATCTGATCAGTCCATTTCTCCAGAAATCACAGATGCACACATCGGTGGTGGTCGTCGTCCTGGAGACGACCGAAGTGTACATTGTCATCAGCTTGTCAACGAGGAGAGATACCCAGGTCGTATATGTCGATCCGACCACCGGTGCCCTGCGCTACCTGGGGAAGCATGGGGAGGACGTCTTTGATTCCGAGGCAGCGGCTCTCAACTACATCACCGATGGGTCAAGGGTTCTATCCAAGAGCACCACATATGCCAAGGCACTTCTGGGATATGCAGTGTTAGGAAGCTCCGCTCTGCTTCTGGTTGCGACGCAGCTGAGCGCGTCCGTCCCCAATCTGCCAGGAGGCGGGTGCATATACACAGTGGCAGAGAGCCAGTGGATAAAGATCCAGCTGCAGAATCCTCAACCCCAGGGAACTGGAGAGCAGAAGAATATACGTGACTTGGCCGATCTCGACATTGACGGCAAGCACTTCTTTTGTGAGACAAGGGATGTTACCAGGCCCTTCCCGAGTCCCATGACACTACGGGAACCAGATGAGGAATTCGTTTGGAATGAGTGGCTGTCAAAGCCTTTTAAGGACATTGGCTTGCCAGGACACTGCGTCATTCTTCTGCAGGGGTTTGCCGAGTGCCGGAACTTTGGAGGTGCTGGGCAGCAAGGTGGGTTAGTCGCCCTTATTGCACGCCGTAGTCGACTGCACCCTGGAACCCGCTATTTGGCCCGTGGACTGAATGCATGTTCAGGCACAGGCAATGAGGTTGAGTGCGAGCAACTGGTTTGGGTTCCACGCAAGGGTGGACAGCGTATCCCTTTTAGCTCATATATCTGGCGGCGTGGAACTATACCAATATGGTGGGGTGCAGAAATAAAAAATGCGGTGTCAGTAGAAGCTGAAATTTATGTTGCAAATGATCCTTACAACGGAAGCTTACAATACTACCAACGGTTGGGCAGAAGATACGGGAATAAATCATCTGAAGCGAATGTGTCCAGGCAAAAGAAATCTGGAAGGGTTCCTGTTATTTGTGTTAACTTGTTAAGATACGGCGAAGGAAAAACAGAGTCTGTTCTTGTTGATCATTTCAAAGAATCTATACGGTACATGAACTCTACTGGAAAGCTGGGAAGCACATGGATTCAGTTGGTAAATTATGACTGGCATGCCACTGTGAAGTTAAAAGGGCAGCAGCAGACAGTTGAGGGCCTATGGAGGCATCTTAAAGCACCTACAATGGTCATTGGCTTCAGTGAAGGGAATTACTATGATGTAAGGCAGCAGCTTAGTGAATGTAAAGGATCAGTTATCTGCAATGATGATGTAAATGGCGGGTTTTGCATGGAGTCTATTCAAAATGGGGTGATACGATTCAATTGTGCAGACTCTCTTGATCGAACCAATGCTGCTAGTTACTTTGGTGCACTTCAAGTTTTTGTTGAACAGTGTAGTCGATTGAACATCTCTCTTGACATAGATGCAATGTTTGGGTTGTCAAG